TCCAGTTGTATCCCTGTTCTCATAACTGACAAAATTTATTCTTTTGGTTCAGTGGCATTCCATTGAGAATTATCTACCACATCGTCTTCATCCATTCATCTGCCATTGGGCACTTATGTTGTTTCTATAACTGATTAATTATAAATAGTGTTGTAGTATAGGAGTGTATATATCTCTGTGAATTAGTGACTTTATGTTCTTCAAGCAGAAAGTTAAGAGTGGGATTGTTGGAGCATCTGATAGATCTATTTTTGATATTTTGAGAAACCTGGACCAGTCTACATATTTTTTTCTCCAAGTCCTTGTCAACCCTTCTTCCTGGGTTTTTTGATATGGGTCACCCTTGCAGACATGAAATGGCATCTCACTGTGGTTTTGATTTACATTTCCCCCATAATAACTGATGATGATGAGCTCTTTTTCTTGTGTCTGTTGGCCACCTTTCATGCTTCTATTGAAGTGCCTAGGTGATAGATCTTCTGACTTTTTTTTGACTGGGCTATTTTTCATTTATTGTTGAATTGTTTCAATTGAATTTTGTGTAGGTCTTGGGCATTAGCATGTTGTCAAATATGCAAATATTTTCCCCTTCAATAAGGTATCTTCATTTCACTTATAATTTCTTTCACTGTGCAAAGGCTTTATGGTTTGATATAGTCCCATTTGTTTATCATTGTTTTTGTTTCCCGGGCTTTTCCCAAAGACATCACGGAAGCCTTTATCATAGAGTGTTTTTGCTTCTGTTTTCTGCTGAGTACTGTATGGTTTCAGAGCTTTCATCCAAGTCTTAAAAGGAAAATGTCTTCATCAGATGCTATTGAGAAAACTAGACCAGTGAAAAAAAATGAAACTAGGCCACTCTCTCACACTATACACAAAAATTAAAGTGGACAAAAGACATGGATATGCAAATTATTACATAGCTTCTGGAGATATCTTCAGATGGAACTTGTGGGTCCCAATAGTTATGTATGCCAGAGCTTCACCGTTTTTAAAGGTTTAGTTATTCATGCATACAATAGCTGGAGTGAAGGCCAGGGGTACAGGGGGGGCGGTTTGAGAGGATTCACCAGAGACACAGTGGGGAGCAGAACAGGTGGATCTACTGAAATGCACTGCTGAGGGGAGCAGTGGGAGAGACAGGAGAGGTCTGCACCATGTGAGTCATCTCCCTGGCTGTCATAGTGTCCTTGTAGTGGGTTATAGCTTGATAGCACTGAGACTTTAACCCCTGCACCACCAGGGGGACCCTGCGACAATGCTTTTAAGAAATTATTGTCTAATAACGTTCTCCAGGGAAAGCAGATAAAATATCAGTCACTTGACTGTATATTCAAAAAGTCCTGTTTGAGTCTCCACTCCTAGTTATGTGGACCGGCTCCCCTGTGAAACAGACTTTCTCCTATCAGGAAGGCTTCTCACAGTACTTAACAGCTCCTCAGGTATTGAGGACAGAAATCCAGGTTTCTCTACACCTCTGGCAACAACTCCATGCTCCAACCTTAGTTGACATAGTTCAGTTTTATTGTCTTTTATTTCAACATCTCTCTTGGCAGCAGAGAGTGAATGCTGCTCAGGGCCTCCTCACTGTGTGGTCAACCACTGGCTCCCAGGGCACAGCTCCCATGCGCTGAGGTGAGCAACAGGTTTTCTGTCTTCCATAGACATCAAGTCAGATCAATCAGCCAGGGCAGCACTTGTAACCTAAAATATAATCTCACTGCACAGCCTCTAGGGAATGCCGTCTTTTCAATATGTAGAATGTAGAGCACATGATTTCATTTTAAGGCATTATTACAGAAACATCTCTCCCAAATTATTTGTACACACATATTTTCTAAATGCTAACAGGAACTACCCTCCTGGGTAAAAAGGGAATATTAATAAAACACTTGTTGAATGCTCATTCTATGCCAGGTTCCATGCTAAGCACTTTGCAAGGATTGCTGTGCACTTTGCAAGGACTGAGTAATGATTTCCCTGAGAAACCCCTTGAGGCAGGTATCTGGTGCCTCCCCTAGTTGAGTAGCAGCACTAGGAATTGTCCTGGACAGCCTGGCTCCCATGCTCTGCCCTCTGCAGCCTGCTGCCCCAGTAGTGCCCCCTCCAAGGAGTTGCTATGAGGACTGAGCAAGGTAATGTCTAGAAAATGCTTCGCAGGCCTGACAGGTATACCCAGGCTACATCAAGAGCTGCTACTATGTGACAGGTGTTCAGTCACACAAGGGGCAGGACTGAGTGCTATGAACAGGGAGTGGGTATGGGTGGATGGGTCGCATGACTGGATAAAGGCCTGGTGGTACTCATTTGTCAGAGTATAGGAGTATCAGGGCTCGGGGGTGTAGACAGGGGTTTGTGGAACAGATGATGCTGAAGCCCAACCCTACATTACAATAAGACCCAAGCTCTGTCCTCAGCCCTTCAGATCATCTCACATCTTTACATTCCGTTTCCAAAAGGAGTCAGAGACCCCCATTCTGCCTCACTGAACTTGCTTTTTCTTTCTTGTGGTTTAAAACATTTGTCTGTTGCTTGTTCTTGTTTAAGTTACCTGTGCCTACCCAAGGATGTGTATGATCTATTCAACTTAGTGTTTCCAGAGATTTTTCTTCCTATTGCAAGCTATTCTGAACTTTAATTGAATTCTAAGTGTGCTTGAATTCTCTCAAAGTATATTTACATTTGATCCTTTGTTTTAAAATTCAATCATAAACAATAATTTTTTTATATGAAAGGTAACTTCCACAATACTAATTACTAATCCCAAAGCAAGGTGGATCTCTGATGGCTTCTTCAGATGCAAATGATAAGGCAGATGAGTCTCACTATGGAGAGAAGAAAGCCATGGCCCAGAGGGGTGGCTTGCCTGGGGTCAGGGGGTGTAAGAGGCAATATGAGATTCAAACAAATACTGCTTATGTTTTTATACATTGAGCACATGCTTAAAACAAGCAAAAATAAGAAAGAACCTCACACACTGTTGTGGGTACTTTGAGCAATGCCAGTCTCATATGCTACTAAGTCAAGTGACTGGTTTGCAGCCACGTTAAGACCCCTTGCTTTGGACCTTGTTAACATTTTTGGTTCTGGTTGACAGTGACCTTCAAATCTGTGAAAACTATGTCACAGTAAAGATGATACTTTTTAGTCCTCTGAGTGATGACTTCTGGCTAAATCAAGGGTGCTGTTAACAGTGTGACCTTCCCCTCCCTTGTCTTCCTACCCATAGGGCCACACACACTGAGAATACTCAGTACTTGTAGGGCAGTACTTGAGATTAAAGTAAATTGCAAATGGCAGGTTACCCCTAAAAAGAGAGTGGAAGGTGGAGGCAAAAACTTTCTTGGTTCCCTGGTCTGTTTCATCAGACAGACATTTGTGTCTTTTTGTAAGAAAATAGTACCCAGCCCAGCCAACACACTGTTATTGTGCTGTGTGTCATCACTACACCAGTCACCGGGAACTCAAGGACAAAAAACACACAGCGATTTTCCCGAACAGTGTTCTAACAAGTCACCAGGCTGCCTCCTATCTTTGAAGCCAAGTGTTTGTTCATAAGGTCAAGAGAAATGAATGACCCGCAAGACAAACATAAAAATCAACTGGGAGCTGAAGCTCTACAGTTTCTGCTGATGTTTCGTTTGGTGCTTGTAGTTTAACTGTTAAAGATTGATACTTCTCACTGTTTATAAAATAACAGTAGTTAGTCCAGAAGTAGTTTCGGTGTCCCCATGGTTATGGCTGAAATGACACACCAAAAACTGCTTAGAAATTTCTCTATTTGCTGTTTAGAACAAATCTAAGAGTTTTTCTACCTTTGGAAGCAAGGCAAATTTGCTTGATATACTCAAGGAATCTAGAGCAGGATCAGACCTTACAGAGTGTAACCCTTTGTTTTATAAGTTGGGAAGTAAGAGTTGGGAAGTAAGTTGGGGAGCTAAGAGTCTTGCCCCAAACACACAGATGGTTGGGGCAGTGGGCCCTCTCCCTTTCCTAAGTTCACTTCAAAAGTCACTGAAATTATTTCCAAAAATACTCATAGAAATATATTGGTTATTGGCCTATAATTGACCTTTAAAGGGACTGGGGTCCCTTTAGGAGACAGTCTTTGGCAGGTGTCTTTAATAGGAATGAATAATAGGGCCTTGCAGAGTGCCTGTCGCGTACCAGGCCTTCATACTGACCGCTTGAATTCCTGGACTCCTCCTAGTCCATGACAGAGTCAGACTTCATACATTAGTGTTCTAGAGTATGCTTCTAATAAATTTATATCTTTAAAATGAGTTAACCTATCATTCAACAAAGAAACAATGTCAATGAGAACACAATCTTATCCCATCATCATAAATCCTAGGATTTGAAGTTTTGTTTCTTTTTTTTTTTATTTACTTTTAATTCTCATGGACCCCAAAACATGCTTCCCCAACTACCTCCATCATGATGAACCTAAGCGACCCAAGGGACCCTGGAGAGTTGGCATCACAGAATCTTTCCCATAAGTTCCCTCCTCTTTAGTGCTCCTCATCTGTAGACTCATCGGGCAGACATGTCTCCAGATCTGATGGAAGACCTACGCAGTGATTACAGCACAACTTCAGTGGCCCAACTTTAGTTGGCACAGAATTCTACTTGCCTTTCCTATTTCCCATGAATGTTAATGGAGGCCCAGCATCTGTCACATGGAAAACACTCAACAATTATGGAACTAAAACTTTACAAGGAAAAATACCTATTTCATTCAGCTTGTTTAAAACCTCATTTTGAAGTAATCCATCTTATCCAATAACTATTGTGCAATTTCATGTTCATCATGTGGCAATGTATTATTTCCTAAGTGCATCAGAGGTAAAGGGCTCAAAAGGGGAAATTTTTTAATTAGGAAATAAAATAGACTATTAATGAATGATTGGTATGAACAAGATAATATTTTGGTGAATGTATCATTTACCAAATTATTTGGAAAGTGCTAAATGTCTGTACTTCTTTGTTCTTTCTTTCAGAATGTTAGAAGATGACCTTAAGCTAAGTAGTGATGAAGAAGAGAACGAACAGGTAAGATTCTTTTTTGTGATGCTGTTCTTTGAATGTGACCTGATGCCACTGACCTCAGGAAAATTCCTGGATGTTAACTGAGTTGTACAAACGTGGAATTATGGTGCTGGAAGATGCTGGGTGCCCTCTGCTAATGGAGATTCTATGCTGTTGGACCAGTTCATTAAAATATCTTGGCTTTAATTTCCCTTAAAACTGTAATTAAAAAAAACAAACACTATAATTCTGTGATTTACATGGCATTGACACCAACAATGGGTATTTATATGGAGTGCCCTGGAAGCCTGCTTCAGTGTGAAACAGAGGCATGTGTGTATGTGTGTGTGTGTGTGTGTGTGTGTGTGTGTGTGTGTGTGTGTGTGTAAAGCTAACTGGCCTTCTGGAGAGCAAACGTTTGATCTTAACCTCATCAGTATGCAACAGGCAAACTGTAACATTAAATATTGAGAAGTCTTATACAGATATTATTAACTTTGAGGAGAAGCAAACACAGAGGTGAGCTAAAATGATGAATAAAAAATAATCATGCTCAGAATAGGTTGTTTGTCTTAAATGATAGATGTGCTTGAAATGTTCTCCCTTGGTGTTGATTTATCAGCTCAAGACATCAGTCAGGGGTTTATAAATACTCTTTGATCAGTTAGTTAATGTAAAAAAACATCCACTTAACATTCATCACTTTCACTTCTGCATTTCAGGAACTGTTTGTATTTTAAAACAAGTTTGAAAACAGTAAAGACAGATTTTCCTACACTTCTGTTTCCTTTTCATCATATCTGTATTACATTTTGTCAAGTTTGGATAGATGTGACAGTTCTAAAGACAATTCAGAGAGGGCTTTTTTTATAAGTCATTTTTGCATGCAATACAAGTCACTTGTGCTATTACATTGATCTTAGATTAGTGCATTTTATATGAGGGTTTCCTGGAATGTTGTGCAGGTGATTCAGCTGTCTAGACATGCAGATGCTAATAATATACGAAGAGGATGTGCAGAGGTGAAATCAAAGTCACAGGAAATATCCAGGAAAGTGTGAGCAGGATGTAGATGTAAGGTCACAGAAGAGTTGTTCACATCTTGAGAGAAGGTGAGATACAAAGAAGGGGATTGGGAGTGAGACAAAACTTGATGATTCTGGAACAAAATTGGCAAGGGGGGGAAGGTTAACTGAGAAAAAAGGCAAACCTTTCAAGCCTTACATTTTTCAGAAATTGATCGGTATTTGAGGTGTGCGCAGGGCCATCTGTCACAAGCCATCTTGGCAGAACTGGAGAATGACTTCTCTTCCAATTTGGGCCCCTTCTCTGTGTGACTGTAAGCAACTGATTTTATCTCTCTCTGTTTTTCCCCAAGAGTTAGATAGGTATGTTTTGGATTTGACCTATCAAGTGTGTAAATTGTACATACTTTATATTAGAAAAAGTATCTAAGAGCTTTTTCATTCAGCAAGTCTTTCTTAATGTGGGAAGAATTTCCTGAGTTATTTCCAAGGTATATTTCCACTGAATATTCAATTTAAAATATATTGATGAGAGAGAGATGTACTCTACACACTTTCTAAGGCAGTGGGAACTTTCAGTTGACTCCTTTTGCTTCCTGTAGCCATTGATAATATTGTGTTTGAAGATATAGTTCAGATCCCTTGTACTTGTATTTGGCCCAGATGTGTATACACCTTCCCATCTTTTGCAGTTAAAGCAGATGACAGAATGAATGATTTTCATACTGTGATCCTTTCTTTGAAATAGGACTTCAGGCAGTGGCTTTGTATGAGATAGTTCAAATGCTCACTCTAAAACATTAATTATATCATTATCCTGCTTTAGCCTCTAATTATACTCTGGCCTAATCAAAAAAAAATTGTAATTCCTGTACATTCTAAAGACTAATGATACAGTACTTTTTTCCTCTCCAAAATCAGAATATTATTCAGCCTTATTCTGGAAAGAGTAGAAGCTATATAAACAAGTAACACACATAAACACACATTTCTCTAGTATTGTGAGATATTATTAGAACTAGTATAATGCTAATATTATTAGAAAAGATTCTAGTTCTAATAACCCAAAATCTTTCCAAAAAGTATTGTACAGTTCCCTGTCTCAATAAACATATTATCCTATACCCCTTATCTTCTTTTTTATCTAATTCCTGGTCATCCTTCTGAATTGGGGTCACTAGATTCTACAGCCTGTGTAAAGAGCTGTGCACAAGAGCTTCAGGTTGCTCCGTTTATTTGGCCTTTCTGGAACAGGCAGTTGAACATGCCCAGTATCTTTATTCTTATTTGTCTCAAAGGTAGACAGGCTAGTTTAGTGAGTAAGAGTTCAGATGTAGCAGCCCTTCTCCTTGGGTTCAAATCCCTACCCAAGTCCCTCCAAAGCTCTACTTTGCAGCTCACTCCATCCCTCAATTGTCCTCTGCTTCATTGTCACTATTTGTAGACTGAAATTAATGTTAGGTACCAGAGCTGACCACTTGCTCAAAGTTTGTGCTTACCTGTTACCTTTTCCAATTAACTTAACATTGAGTATAGCTTACCTAGAGAAAAATACATGTATCCTAAGGATAAAAGTTGATGAATAGCCATAAGCCACACACACCCACAGAACCAGCCCCCAGAGCAGAATACAGTTGGTTCTCCCTTGACTCCTTCCAGTCTTCCCCCTCCAGAAGAATAACCATTCTGGCTTCTAGCACCATAATTTTGCTTGTTTTTGAGCTTTATAGCAATGGAAGCAGACAGTGTATATGTACATTCTGGTGTTTCTAGCTTCTTTCACTCAACATTATGTTTGTGAGACTCATCCATGTTGTTACATCTAATTCAAGTTTGTTCATTTTCACCTCTGGGTCATGTTTCACTACGTGCATGTACCACAGTTCATTTACTCATTCTACCTCTGATGTAGGCATGAGGGTATGTGGAGCTATTAGAATTACACTGTTATTAGCATTCTTGTACAAGAGTAGGAACGCTGGCCCATGGAGTATGTGGTGTCCAACAGGAGTGGATTACCGCAAATCACTTTCTGAAATGGCTATACCATGGACACTCCCTCCAACAACATAAAAGAATCTAGTTCTGCTGTATCTTCACCACATGTTTGTCTTTTATGTTTATGAAGTTTTGGCATTGTCTTTGTCAGATTTTGACATAAGGGAAATACTGGCTTATAAATGAATGAAGAGCATTCCCTACTCTTTTCTTGAAGAGATTATGTAAAATGAATATTAATTCTTTAGATTTATGGTAGAATTTGGCAGCCCGGTGAAATCACATGAACTTGGAGGTTTTAACAACTTATAAATTCTGTTTTCTGAATACTTAAAGGATTATTCATATTATCTGCTTCATAACAGATAGATCCTTGTAGTATGTCCTCTTCTACCAGTTAGCCCATTAGGTCATTTAAAGTGCATTATGTCCGTATGTGAAACTGTTCAACAGTATTTCTTTTTTATGTCTGGAGGATCTATAGAGATATCCCTGTTTCATGGTTGATGTTGATCTTTGTTTTTGTTGTCATCAGTCTTGCCATGGATTTATCAGCTTCATTGATCTTTTCAAGGAGTTAGATTTTATTTTATTGATATTATTCATCAGTCTTGAATTTCATTGATTCCTTACCTTTATTATCCTCCTCCTTTTGCTTGCTTCAGATATAATTTGCTTTTCTTCTACTTTCTTGAAAGAGCTTAGATTATTGATTTGAGACTTGTCCATAATCCAAGCATTTAGTGCTATACTTTTTACTTTCAGCCCAGCAAGTGGCTATATCCATAAATTTTAGTACGTTATATTTCCATTATCATTCAGTGAACCCTTTGCTTTGACACACAGATTATTTGGAGGTGTGCTGTTTCACATCCCAGTGGAGATTTCTCTAACTCTTTCATTGATATCTAGTTGCCTTTCTTTATAGTCAAAGTATATACTTATGAGCATATATTCTCGTACATGTATTGCATGTTTCTATGGCCAAAATATAGTCTGTATTGGTATTTATTTTTATGAAGATATTCTGTTACTATTAAGTGTGGTGTCCCATAAAGTCCATTTTGTTTGTTGGTGGGTTATGATTTATTCTTGCTGACTTTCTAATTGTTGATAGAAAAATATTGAAAAGGAATCTGACTGTAATTGAAAGTTTGTCTTTCTCCTTTCTAGCTTATCAGGTTTTATTTCACATATTTTACAGCTCTATTAGTTGATACACACACATTCAGTATTCTATATCTTGTTATTATGCAATGTTCTACCCTATCTCTGGTAATTTTTCTTTTCTGTCTGCTATCTGAAACAATTACTGCTTTCTGCTGATGTACCTTTTCCAATTCTTTTCCTTTCAGTGAGCCTATTTGTTATATTTGAAGTGATTTTCTTAGAGTATATACCTTTTTTTATTCACTTTCCAAATTTCTATCTTTTAGTTGATGTAGTCTAATTAGTAATATGTTAGAATTTAAGTCTGCTACTTTGCTTTTGTGTTCGCTGTTTTTTTTTTTTTTTTCATTTGATTTAGGCATAGCTTTCTCTTACACTGCTATATAATGTAGTATGAACTGCTATAGGTTGACAACGACATTTTATGTTTTGTCCCTTATTATCCTATAATTATCTTGATCACAAGTTGATTAAGTGTAGATAATATAGGATTTTTGTTTTCTATCTTCCTGACTTATTTTCTTTTTGTGTTTAAATTGAAAATGAATTCTATTTGTCAGCCATTATCAAAATCAATTTTTAAATACCTGTGGAAAACATAACATATCATAAGCATTTAGATGATCTACTTTGTTGATAGGAAAACATTTTCATAAGAAAGGGATATATTGATTTTTCTCCTGCTAAAATGTGAACCATCTGAGCACATTTGAAATGCTTGCAAGTAGACAGGCCACATGGGGTCTATTGACCAAAGTTCTCCATCACTGTCACAGAAGATTTTAGATAATGGAAGAGTAGCATACGCCAGAGGGAAAAGTGTGAGCAAAC